ATTGCCATAAGCTTCGAAAAGCAATTTATGAACTGCAGCTGCAGTTTTTTTCAAGTCAAAGTAATGAAGCAGCACATGTCGAAAAAACAACTTATCACGTTCCATATTTAATCAAAAGAAAAAATAGCACTGCTCGCTTAAATGAATCTCTTCGCACTGAATTTTATTGACAAATGTCTAACCTTTAAAATGCAGCCAGTTTCAGATGTCAAAATAAATTACACCTACAACTAACGTCATCTAACTGTGAGCCGCAGGAATTAAGTTTACCACCTAATAATTGTGTTATTACGTATTAAAAGAGTAGTGTCTAAAAAGTTAATATAGTCACCTCCTATCTCCATTGTGAACTGAAGACGAGGATGAAACGAAATAAAAATGTGCAATATGTTATCCAAAAACTCCTTAGAAGCCGCTAAAAGAATATCGTCAACATATCTAAAATAAAAAGGCAATGTCACCGGAATCATGTTAATAGCTCTTTCTTCCAAATCTTGAAGAACTAAGTTAGCAATAATAGGGGACAATGGGGAGCCCATAGGACTTCCAAAAGTTTGTTTATAAATTAAGTTATATTGTCAAAAGTAAAAAATGTAGAATTGAGAACAAATTCGAAAGCCAACAAAAACTCGTTGCGAGGAATCACAATAGAATCGACAATATAATGCCAACGTTTGTCAACTGACGCCAATGCTAAATCTAGAGGAATATTAGTAAATAGAGAGATAGCATCAAGAGAAACCAGTTTAAGATGTTCCTCGAAATGTTTAAATGCAAGATTGTTAACCAAATCAAAGCTATTATTAATTTTGCTTTTTGCCAGGGAGATTTTTTGGTAAATAATTTTATGTAAAAAAATCGCAAGATTATAAAGAGGGCTATTAATAGAAGATATAATTATTCTCAACGGGTGTCCCTCCTTATGTATTTTTGGCAATCCATAAGCTCTAGGAAGATTCCCCTCACCAGATCTTAAGAATCTATAAATGGCATTATCAATATAATTTTTATTTTTCCATCTAGTTAAAATTACATGAAGATCTCTCAAAAGTTTTTTGGTCGGATCAAAGCTAAACCTCTGGTAAGTGTTGGCGTCGTCAAGCTAACCCAACATTTTCTCCATATACAAATCCCTATCAATTGCGATCGTGACTTTACCTTTATCAGCTATTGTAAAAAGGAGATTAGGCTTCAATTTAGAGAACGTCTTAGCTTCCTGTGTGGCCTTTAAAATCAATTCATACTTGTATTGACAAAGCGGAATGTAATTATGAATTCCACGCAATACAGGTACCACTCGGCTTCTAACGATCTCCTTCTCTTCCCTCTTGAGTTTACAAATATTCGACTCGATTTGTTTAATGAATTCAATAAGTATGAACTTTCCATTAGAAAGTGGTAAATTGAAACCGTTACCCAATTGCAAAAGACCTAGAATATTAATAGGAATGTTCACAGATGATAAGTTTACGAACCACCGATCATGGGGAGACAAGATAGAAGGGGAATCTTGATTCAAATATGATAGAGGATTGATGATAATTTCAATTGAACTAGAATCAAGACTGTCAAGAGGAAGATCATTGGAAAAATGGGTTCTATAAGAAACTCCAAGATCCTTGCAAGATCTAAGCTTCTTGTTAAATGGACCAATATTTGTAAACGTATAGAAATAATTAATGGGGTCCAATTCCTTAAAAATAGACAAACGTTCTTTTTTACACAAAAGCCGAAACTTATTCTCCAAACAACGAGATTCCGCTAAATAATAATTAGTAATGCTCGCATCCTGCAATATACAAAATCTGCGCCACAAAAAGAAAGATAGAGAACGCATCAGTGATTTCGATAACAGAAAAATGCGGCGTCTTAAGAAATGATTATGTATAACACCATCTCTAATTTCAATGTCAAGAATTCTTTTTGCATAATCACAATTAGCGCGCTCAACCTTGCTTGATAAAATTAGTTCTGTGCTTGAACTCGAATTGCCCTTTTTCCTATTTTTTTTTTATTGATATCTTCATTTACGAGTTCTTATTTCTTTCTCTAAAGAGATTAATATGTTAATATATTACACACATACATACATACATACATTATAAACATACATAAGAACATAAAATATATACTGCGACGATACTCGCGAGCGGAACTTCTCGCGAGCGACGGCAAACAGTCGCCTGTTCGCCTCGTCGTCAAATTGCCGTCGGCTCCCGGACACACCACAAAGATTTTCGCGAGAGTTGGGCGCCAGGTACGGAAAGGCCGCACCACCTCGATAAACGCGATAATAACTGAGAATCACAAAAGATGCGCGTCCCGGAACCGTCGGGACCGGTAGCTCGTTTTATTTTAAGTCGGAGACGGGATGGGTTAGGAGGCGAAATCACTAAACTCGGTAACGGTAATACTGAGAAGTTTATTCAGGGACTCTCGCACGTCCCGATAGTTACTGTACGCGAGACAATGTAATTCGCGAGACGGTACACTTCGCGAAACGGTACACTGAGCCCGAGGACGCTTTCCTCGGGCGAGCCTTCTTTACCCGCGCGACCACTCCGCGGACGAGACACGGTACGACACGATACGCGGTACAATTAGATACGGAGCAGATGGTTGATCTTACAATTACGGTGGCGACCCTTGCGTCGGCGGCGGCGTCGGCGGTGACGGCAGCGGTGGCGGTCCTCTCTCTCTCGCTCCTTCTCTCTCCTCCCAGTCTCTCTCTCCGCCCTCTCTCGTCCCGCTCACTCTCTCGCTCTCTCGCTGCACGCTCCCTCTCACTCCGCACTATCTCACTCTCTCTCTCTCCGTCCTCGCTCTCTCGCCCACTTGTCACTCTCTCGTAGCTCTCTCTTTCTCTTTCTCTCTCTCTCTCACTCTCGATGCGCACGGTAATGATCGTCTGACCACGGCGGTAGTCACGGTAAGGCTGTCAGCTGATCGGCTCTGGGAGGATCACGTATCCTCGTGGATCCTCCCTCGTCGCTACCCCCCTTGTCCTGGGGTCGTCGATCGTCGAGAGTCGGCAATTTTCGATAGTATTGTCTCGAGACACTTTCCGTTTCGGTACATTGTTGACGTCGGGAGTTCGCTTGGTTGTCTCTCCCGGCTCTCCCGTTTTTTCCTGCCGGGTTTCTCGTGACGGCTGCTTCGCTGAAAGTAAATACAGCTGATCCGTCTAAACGCGATACTGTATTGTAACTACGATACTTTCTCAGCAATAGAATATTTTCTATTGCTGAGCGCTCGATAATTCGCGATAATAATTTCTCGTCGCCAAAGTACGAGAGTGCGATTCACCTGAGCAGAGCTTCGCTCGTTGTCGTCCTCTGCATCCTCCCTCGATGTCCTCCGCTCCTCGTCCTGGTGACCGGCAAGGGACGTCGAGGGGCACAAAATTCGGGACGCGCTGACCTTCGCATCTGCTCCGCTCGCAAAAATCGCTTCTTCGCTTTGCTCTAAATTTTGCACAACAAACAATCCGACGGAACGCGATATTCGGCAAGGTCTCGAAAACCGTTAGCGACACGGCACGCGATAAACATTCGATACTCTAATCGACACGGGATTCTTGAGACGGGCGCCTCCACGGCTGCCACGTCACAATACATGCGTTACATACACATTAATATATTAATAAAAAATTATGAATACATACTCATCATACCAAAAAGCATTCAATCCATTCGGAGACAATCTCGGAAAGGACATTTCCTTCCAGAAAAGTCCCTTCCTTCCTCCACCGAGTAAGTATCTCGCCTCTCGTCCTCGAAGGCACGTCTTCCCGTACAGAAAACATGACTTCTTCGAGTTGGAGGTTGGAGTAGATGTCTATGACACTCCCCTAAAGTTCTCCTCAGGTATGATTAAGTATTCCTAATACATGTGTTGCGGTTATTCCAAGAAAATGCATGCCATTATAAATTAATCGCGATCATACCTTTCCTCCGGCACAATCAACCTAAAGGCACATCTTCCCATGAAGAAGATGTGACTTCTTCAGGAAATGTGTCGAAGTAGGAGAATCCTGCCTAATGTATACAATACAGAAATACAGACTCACACACATATTTCGTACTTATATAATTTTTATCATTACATAAATATTAAAATGTTTATTTTATTACATGTTTATTAAATTACAATAATTTTCACTTTTTTTTGTTTTTTGTATCTATATTCACTTAACATTTCTTTTCTTTTACGTTTATCAAGTTTAAATGCTTCGCGCTGTTTTTTAATTTTAATAATGTCGATACAAAGTAATTCATCTGTTATGTCCTCGCTCACACAATTAATCAAACTATTCTTTTTTATACACCACCATGTTAATATTTTTCTACAAATTATGCGCAATACTACTTTGAAAATATTATTATGCTTATTAGGATGCTCCATGCATTCATGCTAATCTATATTAATAATCCAATTATCGAAATGACCTAATACCTTAAGAATATCACGCCAATGAGATCGCGTCTCTAACAATTTACTAACTCTACGAACTATTTGCCTTGCAAAAATTGGAAATTCATTACTTTTTAAATTTACATTACATTCTTCGCAAAAGTTTAGATCTTTTGTTATACCCCTATAGAAATATCATACTAAGAATCATTGATAATTACTTATTTTCAGTATTAAAAATACTGGATAATAAGTAATTATCAATGATTCTTAGTATGATATTTCTATAAGGGTAGCGACAATAATTTCATTTAACTTTTCATCTAAAAATGCTACACTGGATTGCTTCGGAGCAATTTTATCACTAAACATTTCATGCTGTTCGTCGTCATCATCATCATTGTTGCGACAAATGTTATACATCTCTTCATTTGCAAGATCTTCCTCCAAACACTTTTCTAAAATAAATAACATGAAAGGGTCTTCAGAAGTTTCGCAGTTACCGCCAATTATCGACACAGATTTCATGTTGCTCATTAGTAAAGTGATGAATGAATCTTGAAATTGTCGAGATGTTGGATTATTATTACAAATGGCATGACTTCTAATTTGTCCAAAAAAATTTTCAATTGCATCCTGATCACAATATCGCGTTCTTAAAAATGTAAAACCGTGTTTTAAATTTAATATTTTCCAAAGTTTCTGAAACCCGTTGTTTCGCAGTTCATGTTTGGCATCCGTCCAAAATGCGTGATGAGCACTATCTTCTGTCACTGGAGAACGTAACTTATTTTCACTTACACCACTACTGTTCACAGAATCAAACAAGTCATTAAAAAAAAGTACTATCTCTGATGTGGCAATTCCTTCTTCTGCATCTATCTTCATCTGTGTAGAATCTTTTAAATCCACAACACCTGCAACAGCAAACATAATTCATATTAACGGTTACTGTACGAGTAATGCAGTATTGCAGTCGTCGTATTGCATTGTCGTATTGCAATATATTACGATGATGTATATAATATTTTTTTACAATTGTACTTACATTTATGTCTTGTTAGCATCTCGATACAACTCGCAACTGTCCCATTTAATACTTGCGTAGCATATTTCACACGCATTTGTCGTGCCCGTGTTGCCAGGACACGAAAAGAGTTCGAGATCGGTGATGCGGGCGCGGCAGGGTGTGTGGCGGTGGATAAAATGTAGTAGAGGTTTTGACTACTTCTTGTAGTGTTAAATATAAAAAAGGTTTATTTAATTTGTACACTTGTATGAGTTTTAATTACAACTCCCGTACTTATGATTGATGTGCGAACCGCGCATAAGTCTCGTATGACGCCTATGTCGCGGCGAGAGACCGAGATGTTAAGCCTGACGCGAGCGGTCTCTCCGCTCTTTTATAGTATTGTTTTAGGCTTGTCGGAAGGGGTGCCTGGCGACAAGAACATTACCATATTTGGTGATGGTTCGATGCGTTTGGAATTGAGGTCCTAAATGCGGAATGTGCAAGGTGGTGCTTATCGCAGCACTTGCACATTCGCTTCCTTGTCGTGGCGCAATCGAAATAATTCCTTGAGAAGTGTTTCGAAAGCGCTGGTACGATTCGCGATTATAACACATTTTCTTAATTTTATTTTCTATAATATGTTCTTTTGTTATTTTCTGCAGTTGCGGCCGTAACATATTACTCTTCCTATCAATTATCCATGCTGTCTTGATGACGTCCCACGATACTATGCGTTCTTATTTCTTCCCCTCGCTCTTAAATGCAAGATCTTTTGTTAAAAGATTGTTTCTTATTCCTTTAATGAGATGTAGAGGATTAAAAAGAGGAACAATCTCAATGTCTTCCACTTCAAAGGTTTGAGTTATTAATAACACAAGAACATTATCTTACATATTTTCATAAATTGCAACATGCAGGCACACATGCATACTAATATTAATATTAATTAATATTTTGTGTGCATGTGTGTAACAAATATGTTTAGCACATTATAACAATGAATATGAAAACTTACCTTGCGTCTTTCTTTCCAAGTTCCGTTTCATATCTGTACGAGATAATAAATCTTTGATAGCAGCAACATTTAAAGTTCCTTGGTCGCAGACAGTCGCAACAATGAGGAAGTCTACTTGACTAATTTTCGAAACATGTTCTTTTATACATCTAACGAGTTGTGAGGTGTTCGTAGCTTTCGCGCAAAAGTTATAAGAAATGGGCATTTTCCATCCGGTATATAAACCCCGTAACATAAAAACTAAAATATGATCCGCGACTTTATTACTACGGTTGGTGTCCCAGTCCTCATGACCACATATGATATCCCTTCGAATATCATACCTGACATTCAGTTGTATAGATATCTCATCTCACATGAGGATACACACTTTATCCTTAGCAGACATTTAAAGAGAAATATTCCCTAAATGTTATAGGATGAAAGAGTTTAATTCAGCGGTAATGGATATTTTGAAGCACCAACTGCAAAGATTATCCGGAAGGAATGTTCTGGAAAACTTCTCGTAACCGAGTATAAGCACGCTTCCCCATTGTTTTATACAAAGTCAAGGCTAAAGCCTTATGCTTTGCATTATATCGATGTCCCTTAAAGATTAAAATATATATATAAACGTGAAAACTGTACAAACTTTTTTTCAATTAAATATTGCACATATATTTTATTCACATTCTATTCATGACCAAAGAATGGTATAGGTTGCGAAAAACATGCAAATAACTAACTTTTGTTAGTGTAATAGTGTTTGTGTTTCATTTCATACAACGCAACGTCTCAATTTGAGGTATAACGTCTTATAGACGTGTGTAACCGCGATGCGTCGCATTTCGGGTTCGGGTTCGTGATAGGCGAAATAATTTAGAAACAGTGTTCTTAATAACAAAAAATTAACAATATATTTAAATAATAAGCTGATGATTACAATATATATCAAATAATGCGTGTCGACGCCGTTGGTTTTGGTCGTTTGTATACTGTCTGTCAGAGGCTTGTTTACGCGATGGCTCACGAGATGTGAGGCGCGGTGCGCAGGACGCGGACGGTACAAGCATCGCATTTTCGCGAGTTTGTATTGTTGACGTTTCTCGACGTCTCGCCTCTTTAATTCTCGTTGATAACTTCTTGTGATGAGTTTAGTTGCGTTTCGAGGTAATATAATGCACGCGGTCGGTAAGACTGCAGCGTAACTGTACGCGGGGAATTGCCTTACAAGGGGAACCCGGCAGTCTCTGATCACCGATTTGAATACAATTTTATGGGTGTGTAGTATGCACTCATACATTTACTCCTGTAAAGCCGTAGGATCCACTATTGAGACATTCTCAAGAAATATTTTTTTAAATATTTCGAGAAAAATTTTTGTCCCTATAGTATCGTTACGGAAAAACAATTTTCCAGCTAGCAGTGTAGCGTCCACGGTAAGACGTAGACTACTACGCTCGGGGTTGCAAGTTCGATTCCCTGAATGATTTTTTTTTTTAATTTAAAATTTATATATTTTTAAATTTGTATATAACACAATTTTAAACCGTTTTTAATTATTTTATATCAAATTTTTTAATAAGTAATTTGTATGTTAAATAAATATTTTTTTAATCAAGGAATTTAAAAATGCTCATTTATTATTAATTAAATTAAAATTTCTCATGCACACAAAAAATATATTTCTAATAAGAATTTACAATAACTGTTTTAAGAACGTCAAAATTAGAGTTTTCATAAATCGTTATACCCACAAAGGTCCCCGAGTGTAACGATTTTGGTCTTTTGTTCGGGATCTTAGCAGGTATACGAAACCGCTCGTCTAACGGACAAACTGATAGTAGAAATACAGTCGTTCTTCGAGTTAGACGTACTCCTTATAGTTTGCAGAAGATATTCGTGTTCTTTTACTTGCAATATGGATATTCCGGGACCGTCAACGAGCGCTAGTGCGAAGGAAGAAGAACAAGAATTTAATAACAAATTGCTCTTAAAAAGTGCCTTAAAAATAAGCGAGAAGTTGCTTTTTGAAAATGAGTATATTCCAGAAGAGTCCGTGAAAGATCTTTCAACGGAAAAGGCAACTGTTATAGGCCACGAAATATATAACCATATCGTCGATATGGTTAAACTGGAAACAAATTTGGTCCAATAATACAGAAGCAAGTTGATGCTCTTGTTGTCGAATTTGGTAATGTCAAATGTTCAAGGTCAGGAAAGTTAACTACAAATATCTATAAAGACTTCTTAAAAGAAATATTACAGCCATATGTTAAAAATGAAAAGTTTTTATTAATAATAGATTCTTGGGATGGCCAAACAAATTCACAAATATATGATGATATTTTTGTGGATGACGAGAATATTCCATCTTGTCAAATAAAAATTATTCCGCCAAAGTGTACTCCTTTATGCCAGCCATGCGACGTGTATTTTTATAGACAAGTTAAAAATTTTATCAAAAAATTACAAAATTGTACATATCTCCTTAAAAGCAATAGAGAAATAGCCAATCGTGAGGATGCTATTAAAATACAATCTTTAGTTCACAATCAGTTAAGCGCACCAATCTTTTGTGATATGTTAAAATATGCATGATTTGCATCTCAAATAACAAATGAGAGAACTTTTTTTAAAAACGTTAACGAAGCTTGTTTTCTAAATTCTGCTAATAAAACAAATTGTACAAACTGTGCGCATGAAATATCTATGATTGTATGTGCATGGTGCAACGAATTATTATGTTTTAAATGTTTTTATGATAAATATCACCCTAAAAGCTGCAAACTTATTGTAAAATAGTAAATTGTACATTTTTACTTATTGTATAACAGTCGTTGTAAATTCTTATTGGAAATATATTTTTTGTGTGCATGAGAAATTTTAATTTAATTAATAATAAATGAGCATTTTTAAATTCCTTGATTAAAAAAATATTTATTTAACATACAAATTACTTATTAAAAAATTTGATATAAAATAATTAAAAATGGTTTAAAATTGTGTTATATACAAATTTAAAAATATATAAATTTTAAATTAAAAAAAAAAAATCATTCAGGGAATCGAACTTGCAACCCCGAGCGTAGTAGTCTACGTCTTATCGTGGACGCTACGCTGCTAGCTCGAAAATTGGTTTTCCGTAACGGTACTATAGGGATAAAAATTTTTGTCAAAATATTTAAAAAAATATTTCTCAAGAATGCCTCAATAGTGGGTCCTACGGCTTTACAGGAGTAAATGTATACTAAAGTAAAGTGCATACTACACCATAAAATTTTATTCAAATCGGTGATCAGAGACTGCCGGGTTCCCCTTGTTAGTAGCGATACCTTCGATCTCTTATCGCGGAGATTAAATGCGAACCGGTGTATACGGTGCGGCCGTCGGTCCTCGTACACGGGACTTTAGTTCTCGGAGTTTCCTTTGTAATCGAACGAGCCCGGCTCATTCTAACACGATTGCGGATGCGGTAAGACAGTGCCGCGGACGCACCTATGCGGATTATCGGAGTCCGTCCGATCTCTCTTCTAGAGATCGCTTACGATTATCACGGAGGTCGTCTCGCATACCTGCGAGGCGACGACGATCCTAACGTGGATCCTGAATACGCTGTGTCGAGGGTGTATATCAGTTGGACACGGGGCAATTGGACACAGTCCAATCACAAGTCGTTGTTCCAAGGGACCCTACAAATGTCTCTAATCACACGGTGCTGTGATTGGCTGTGTCCAAATGCACCGTGTTCAAGTGCACCGCTCCCTGTGTCGAAGCTACGCTGCAACCGAGCGTAACCTCGAATCTATGATAGCGAGTTCGCACGCGGCGACTCGATACGTTGTGATCTCGCTCGCACTAAGGTGAAGGCGAGATCCGGTTCGCGGTACGGAAAGTGCGTTGAGCGCCCTTCCCGGGTGTCGATTCCAAGCCCTTCGGTGGCTGTGGAATTTGACGGATAGCGGAGTTTATTAGTGTCGACGTCATGAATCCGTGAGCCGACGGCGGAGTGACGAATCCGTGAGCAGAAAGCTGCCAGGAACGGTAGCTAGAGCAATGTCGATATTCCGAATCCGGGAGTCGACAGCGGAGTGCTTTCAGTCGCGAATCCGCGAACAGAAAGCTGCCAGGAACGGTATTTGCGGATCTCTTTTCGAGAGCGGAGGATCGGAGTCTGATTCTCTCGAAAAGAGCGGTAGATCGGATCTGCTGTCGATTATATAATAATTCGCGGCGTTTTATATATTGCGAATTACGCTTGATTCGCTGTTTACCGCTGATGTTCGGCGGTCGCGCTGTTTACATCATGAGAGGACGCTCTGTCCTTCCTCGCTTCTTTTATTCGCGGTCTTATGCGATTTTCTTATGCGGCTAATAATGATTGCTTATGCGGATCGTTACACGTGTAATATAGTTAATATGTAAGACGTGTAATGTTTTAAAAATGTCTCAAAGTTTCCGAAACGTTTCATATCCCGATTGTGCACATTATGTTATGTGAGATGTCACATAATGAAGGGAAATATTAAATCGTATACTTCATAGCGACACAGTAACTGCCTTGAGGCGTTACACGGTCCGTTTTAAGAAGATATATTTTAAAATATAT